TTTAATAGAAGAAAATCAAAATTTTCAGCTTGTCTTTAGCCTGCGAGACTATTTTGTCTTGAAATTTCACGCCGAATAGTGGGAAATCCTTAAATCCATTCTTAATTCGGAAGACTTCTTTTTCTCTGTAGTTCTCAAAAAGCAAACCGCTTCCTAATTAATAATGACAATACAATAATCCTTGCATTTGATATGGTGCCTTATCGTACGTTTGAGACGTCTCAAAGCGCTTCACGGAATATATTATGAAGTGAATTGACTGTGCGTCTTGCGGGAGAAAAGCAGCAGCCAATTGCGCACAGCAGTGAGCCGTTGTGGATCGAAGGACAAAATATTTTTTTCAAATCAAGACTGAATTGAAGAGTTTGCCCCAATTTTGTGCGATCTTAAATTTTAAGACCAAATAGGCTCACAAGCCAAGACTACAACAGCAGCAGCTTATAAAGCACCATTCATGTAGGATAGGGATTGAGTGGCGGAGTTGGCTCCTGAGCAAGAGAAAAGAGGAATTAGAATTAGACTGGATCTAGGCGGAATTAAACCTCCTAAGACTTCTCGGTGATTAGTATTGTAGTTAAAAATTAGAGAAAGAATTGCAAATAAATCTTGAACCATCTCTTTGAAGACAGAAGCTTCAAAGATCTCGTTGTTGTTCAATTGGAGAAAAATGATTTATGACAGGAAAGGCCATTCGAGTGGAAAAAGATCTATACAAATCGCCGAGTGCGTGCGCGACTGAGCGAGGGTGCGAGTGAGTAGTGTGAAGAGAACATCCTGCAAAAACAAACCAAGAAAAACCAAAACACGTTGCCTCGTCTCAAATCAAGAGAAAAGAAAAGAATCAAGAAAACAAACGTGAGCCTTTGTGGCTTTGAAATCTGGTCTCAGACAGAACGGTGGATGAATACGCGCGGAGATGGTGAAAGGCGAGAGATGGCCTGTGTGTACGGGATATTGAGATGGAAATTGTGCTGCTTGGGTTTCAAGTTGGCCGTGCTCTTGCCTCTGGGTTAGAAAGTTGTTGGTTCAAGCTCTGCTTACAAATAACACAGTCACTACACTGCACAGTAAAATCCCGTGAAGGGCTTTGAGACATCTTGACGACATAAAGTGCTGTATCCAATGCACAAAATATTAATAATATTATTATGAATAGTGCTCACAATTAGGCTCACTAGGCTTCTGTTCTCCCAATTGAGATGCTTTGGTTGAGACTTGAAGACGGATGTGAAAAAATCCCACCAAATACTAATGGAAGAGAGGAGAGACTTCCTTACGATGCCCTAAACCACCAATGCACCGGATTGATTGATCACTCACCACACAGTTGTTGTAGCAAATAGCTGCTGTGTTTACTTGTGAAGAGCTTTGAGGCATTGCTGTAATGTGCACAGATAATGATACTATTAATAATAATCCTTCCATTTGGCACAGCGCCTTATCTCGTCTCAAAGCGCTTCACAGGATACACGGCAAAGCGGAGTGACTGTGTATTTTGTGGGCGAAACACGGCAGCCAAATGCCACGGCAGCGCCCCGCAAACAGTGGCGGATCGAATGACCGCATTTTTTTTTACTACCTGGTAAACAGAGGGCTGTGGAGTAAATAAGCATTAGACAGCAAGAAATTACATCTGTATAGTATGTTAATTTTTCCCGTTTATGCTTCTGTCGTTGGGTCAGCAGCCTCGTAAACCTCTTGCAATGAACCCTGTTGATCACGTCCATCTCTAGAGGGACGTAACTGTTTGGCAGGGTTGGCCCCTGTGCAAAAGAGAACGGATGTTCTCCAAGCCATCATTACACAGGCAGGTTCACGGGTTCTTCTTATTGATTAAAAAGTAATAAATTCGACAGGTTTTCTAATTAAACTCCCAGGTCACTCAGAGTTCGAGTGGGTCCCAGGTGAGGGATACCGAGGATAGTGTCTCTCACCGAAGCTTCTGTGGGAGGCAATTGTGGTATTTACATTCCACAAAGAAAGTTGGGTGCAATTTTGAGATAATTAAGTAATAATAATCCTTGCATTCGATACAGCGCCGTATCACGTCTTTAAGACGCCTTAGAGCGCTTCACGCAATATATTGTAAAGTGGATCGACTGGGTATTTTGTGGGCGGAAAGCAGCAATGAAGTGCGCACACCAGTGTCCCACAAACAACAACATGCATTTATATAGCGCCCTTCAACCTTGCTTACAGTCATCTCCTCCCCCCCCCCCCCCCACCCCCACCAGCTCATCGTCAGGCTCCGCCATTGTCAAGTGCTCCACAAATTTATCAATTCTCACCCCCCCCAGTTGTTTTTGGATGTTTTTCAATTTATTCAGTGTTCAATCCCTTTTAAAGTTGTGTAACGCTCTGCAAATGCATTGTTAAAGTGGAGACCGTTAATTTATTTGCAAGCTCGTAAATGTTACTGGTCTTTCATGGTAGAAGATGATCATAATACTGGATGAAAGGAACAAGAAATACGTACAAATTAAAAGTCTGCTTGAGATCCAACACTAATTAAAACTGATCCGAACAAAATGGACTCAGGAAAGTGGATATATCTATTAGCAAAACATAAATGTCAGAGCATAATACTGATTAATATTTACACCCTTGTAAGTTTTTTGTGCGATAAAACAAACATTTTAAGTCTCACTTTTACAGCTGTGATTGTTTGCCATCGCAAATACTCTACTTCAAGTTAAGATAACATTTGGATTCTTATAGGATCTGATATTGTTGATGAAGTTAGTATGTTGTCGCTGTTACCTTACACCAGCCACGCCATTCACTTAACCTACATCCTGAGTAACGTCTTAGTTGTTTAGTTATAGTAGTTTAGTTAGATAAATGTTACCTTACAGCGAATACAGCAAGTGCTCAGAGAGATGGCATGTATGCTTGAATCTTAATAATAAACCTTGGTTTCGATAAAGCGCTTCGCAGGATGTACTGTAAAGTGTAGTGACTGTGTATTTTGCGGGTAAACGTGGCAGCCAATTGCATTACCTTTCCCTAGTCAGTATGGCGGTGCTGGTGTTGGTAATAGGGGTGGGGGCGAGAAATCTAACTTTGCCGGGTGCAATTCCTCCCCGGGGCAGAACAAGACATCTTTAAACACGACACAGATAGGACACGACACACACTGACTGATCTGTACGATTCACGTTTTGTTTAAAAAGTCCAACAGGTCGCCAACACCCTTCTTCCCCACCCCCGAAAAATAGATCTCTCCCCTAATCCCTCCACCTTTCTCCACCCTCCGCACCCCCACTCCTTCCCCTCTTTTAGATCACGACTGAAGACCCTCCTCTCCTTCACCTCCTCCCCCTCCCACGTGGCTCGGAGTCAGGCCCCGCCGGTGTTAAGCTTTCCGAGATGCTACCGCACGTGACGGGCACTGTGTAAATGCAAGTTGTGGTTGTAAATGCACAGTTTATTCTTATAAATCAATAGTGACAGATTGGCTCAGAGGAGGAGCCCATGGTTTGGGATGGTTGAGATCACTTTTTCCTTTATTTTTAGTATACACACACACACATATCAAGTGAGAGACCTGAGTTCAATTCCAGGCAGTGGGCGAAACCTTGGGCAAGTTTCCTTACTCCACACAGAGCCCTAATAATAGTCCCTCCAAAACCAAAAACAATAATAAATTGGTCATTTTCAATCTACGTCTGTTTGTGGGACATTGCTGTGTGCAATTGGCTGCCGCGTTCGCCCACAAATATACAGTCAATTCACTTTGCAGTGTGTTCTGTGAAGCGCTTTGGGACGTCCTCCCGACGTGAAAAGCGCTATATCGAATGCAAGGATTATTATTATATATATATATATATACACTGCTTATAGCACGCTTGGTGCAGTATACAGTCATATTGATTCCTTAGCCAGCTCATTTACTTGGGCTGTCTGTGTGTGTGTAAGCCACCGGTTGTGTGTGTGTGTGTGTGTATAAGTCACCAGTTGTGTGTGAGTGTGTGTGTGTGTGTAAGCCACCAGTTGTGTGTGTGTGTAAGCCACCAGTTGTGTGTGTGTGTGTGTGTGTGTGTGAGCCACCAGTTGTGTGTGTGTGTGTGTGTGTGTGTAAGCCACCAGTTGTGTGTGTGTGTAAGCTACCAGTTGTGTGTGTGTGTGTGTGTAAGCCACCAGTTGTGTGTGTGTGTGTGTGTGGGTGTGTGTGTGTAAGCCACCAGTTGTGTGTGTGTGTAAGCCACCAGTTGTGTGTGTGTGTGTAAGCCACCAGTTGTGTGTGTGTGTGTGTAAGCCACCAGTTGTGTGTGTGTGTAAGCCACCAGTTGTGTGTGTGTGTGTGTGTGTAAGCCACCAGTTGTGTGTGTGTAAGCCACCAGTTGTGTGTGTGTGTGTGTGTGTGTAAGCCACCAGTTGTGTGTGTGTGTGTGTGTGTGTGTAAGCCACCAGTTGTGTGTGTGTGTGTGTGTGTGTAAGCCACCAGTTGTGTGTGTGTGTGTGTGTGTGTGTGTGTAAGCCACCAGTTGTGTGTGTGTGTGTGTGTGTAAGCCACCAGTTGTGTGTGTGTGTGTGTGTGTGTGTAAGCCACCAGTTGTGTGCATGTACGTGCTCTGCAGTGGCAAAGCAATGCTTTTATGAATGAACATCCTCCTCCCTGTCTGTGTGCGTGTGTGAATGAGTGAGGGTTTGCAATGCAGAACTCGTCCCACCTCCTACTCACAGCTAATTGCTTGGCTCTCCTTTAGACGTCAGAGAGAGAGGAGAGAGAGGAGAGGGAGGGAGAGAAAAAGAGATGTGTTGCTGGAGAAAGGCAACGTGCACCCATCACTCCAGCAGCTCCTCAAGGAGAAGTGAGTCACCAGCTGTCTGACCCAAACCCCTTTAAACTCACTCCCCAACTCACTGACTGCCCAAATCCGACTCTTTGCAACTGCAGATGACACCGACTCTCTCTCAGACTGGAGCCCCAACAAGGATAGAAGATCACACACACACAAAACTAGGTGTCCCCCCTCCCCACCACCATCCCACCCCTTCTTTTCCTCTTTTTTCTCCCCAAAAAAACCATCACAGAGCAAGGGGACCAGCCACTTGGATGTGTGACCATCTCTAAAAGCAGGTAATGTTGTTTTTTTGTGTGTGTTTTTTGTTGTTTTGGGGGTTTTTGGGTGGTGGTGGGGGTGGGGGTGGGGGGGGGGAGTTTTTTTTTTAATGGATTTTTAAAGCAAATGCAATCAGGATTTGGGTGGGTTTCAGATTTTTTTTAAACAAAATTTTTTTAAAAAAATCTGGTTGTTGCATCCCATGTCATTTAACACTGTTTGCACTTTGCATTGATGATGTTAATATTAATATTAATAATAATAATAATAAAAAACACTGACATCTATTGGGAAAATAATGAGGAAAGCTTTGGGATTGGGGGAGTCGTTTTAAGAATCTGAATGAAACGAGCTCAGCGAATATGGATTTATTGCAATAAAACAACCTTCACTCATGTCAGACAGTGAAGTTTTAAAATGGATTTACAGGGCATTAGAATAAACCAAATCCCTTTATAACCCGAGCAAAATTATTATTATTATAGGATTTTATTTATTGACTCATTTATTAATCTATTCGTTCGTGTATTGCTTTTTTTTTTTGCAAAGGTTGAACCAAAATCTCACACAAAGAAATGTGTCAATGTACGAGACAGCAATTTTTTTTGGGTGATGCACACACACACACACACACACAAAAAAAAATCTCAGACACAAAGAAACGTGTGCGAGTGTTTTCTGGGAATGACACGAAGAGGGGGAGTGTGTGTGTATGTGTGTGTGTGTGTGGGTGGTGGGGGGGGGGGACAGTAAGATTTTTTTAATTTGATTTATTCTTACGATGCGTTCTGAATGGTTTCAGGGTTTTTTTTCAATATCACAATTTAAAATGCCATCAGATTTGGACGGTTAAAGATATTCTGGTTGCATCCCATATAATGCAAACCTGTTTGCACTTTGCAATGTATATATCTATATATATATATATACATATATATAAAAAGCTGAAATGTTCCCTTTTAAACTGCAGAAGGGGAAACCGATTTTTTTTTTTGGGGGGGGGGTGGTATTTCATTTTTATAATTCAAAATGCAGTCAGATTGGGGAGGTTTAAGGCAAGGTGTTGCGGTTGCATCCCATGCAAATAAATGCAGACCTGTTTGCACTTCTGCAAATGAAAATAAGACTGGAAATATTCCCTTTCTTGAACTGCAGGTGGGGAAACCGACAAACATGAATGAGAACATAGCCAAGAACTCCAGTGAGGAGCAGCCGGGCTGGTTCGAAGCCAGTGAGGACAATTCATCGCTGGAATTGGCTTCGGCTGTGGACCGTTTCCCTCTCAACCCCTGGGATGTGGTGCTGTGCGTCTCTGGGACTGTCATCTCCTGCGAAAACGCCATCGTAGTGGCTATTATTTTCTACACTCCTGCTTTGAGAACACCCATGTTCCTGCTGATAGGCAGCCTGGCCACTGCTGACCTTTTGGCTGGCCTGGGTTTGCTGGTCCATTTCGTGTTCCTCTATTGCATCCATTCTGAACTGGTCAGCCTGATCACTGTTGGGCTATTGGTTGCTTCCTTCACCGCCTCCATCAGCAGCTTGCTAGCCATCACCATCGACCGCTACCTGTCCCTGTACAACGCATTGACTTACTACTCCGAAAGGACCACCACTAGGACTTACATCATGCTCATCCTCACTTGGGGGGTCTCCATCTGCTTGGGGCTGCTCCCGGTCATGGGTTGGAACTGTCTGCAGGACGTCTCGAGCTGCAGCATCGCTAGACCCCTCACCAAAAACAATGTGATCATCCTCTCTATCTCCTTTTTTATGGTCTTCGCCATGATGTTGCAACTGTACATGCAGATCTGCAAGATCGTCTGCAGACACGCTCACCAGATAGCTCTACAGAGACATTTCCTCCCCACCTCCCACTATGTGACCACCAGAAAAGGCATCTCCACACTTGCTGTGATCTTGGGGGCATTTGCAATATGCTGGTTACCCTTTGCAATATATTGCCTGATGGGAGACTATACATATCCATCGTTATACACCTATATTACTCTCTTACCAGCTACCTATAACTCCATGATAAACCCGGTCATCTATGCCTACAGGAACCACGATATTCAGAAGGTTCTGTGGACAGCATGTTGTGGCTGTTTATCAGCTAAACGTTCATTTAGGTCCAGGTCGCCCAGTGATGTCTAGCTCTCTCTCCCTCTCTCACTCGGCACCCGTTTAGGGCTCATTTTACGGCACGAAATCGATTCGAGTCTTTAAGTAAAACGTGCCTGGCTTTTGTTTATTACAACCGGCGACTGTGAATGTCAAATAAAGAATTATTCTGTTGAAGATGTTGCACTAAACAAACAAACAAACAACAAATAAAAGCCAAATTTAAAAAAAAATGTTTTCTTAAAAGGAAATGCGGGCAAAAAAGATGAGATGTTTTTGAGATGAGACTTCTTGCAAAGTTCAAGCCAGAACATATGGACCAAGACCGTAATACATTAAAAGACTTTGTGTACTGTATTTGAAAATTTGCACAACTGTTCAGAAACACTTTACAATATATACAAGGCACTTTCGATTGATATCTTTACTGTAATATTTGCGTTTGTGAAATTTGGTTCCTCTTGTTTTCAGAGGACTTGGGATGTATTGTTTACAATCAATCATCAATAAAGTCATAATTTGTGATAGAAATCACTCGTGTCCACTTCTCTGATCGAATATTCCCTCCAGCACTCAGCCCAATGCCTTCCAAATACTTGCAGTGACAAGCTGGTTGGTTTGCGCATTTATGGGATGAATTATAACCTCAATGTATGACGCACATATATCCCATAAAAGAGCCCAACAGTTGATTAAAACAGACGTTTCAAGAGAGGTATCAGAAACATCAATACAATTACTGAAATTAATATGACACCGGCCACACAGTTCACAAGCACTTCCTTCCATCGATCCAGATGTGTGATCTACCAGACTGTTTACATCAACAAATACACAATAGGAAAGTAATGTTTATATATTTCTTTTGGTCAAAGCACTATGGCTCCTTCCTGGGTAGGTGGGGAGATACTAACAGGGCTACTTGGAATCGGCCTTAGACCAAGGTTAGGGAAGAGATCATCTCCACCCAATGGCTCCTATTGGATCCTGTCTCCATGATAAAGATTCTCATTAGGATAGATGTCTGTACCGGCCACCACCAAGTGAAATAATCTACCATCATCAGGGGCACTGGCAGGAAGTGTTATCTTGAGTTGTTCAAGGAAAGGGAATGAAACTGCACCCAAATAAATGCTCCTTAGGAGAGAAATAACATTCCATATCGCCCACAATATAAAGTCCACTTTACCGTGTATTCTGTGACGTGCTTTGAGAAGTCTCAATGACATGATAAGGCGCGATATCAAACATAAGGCTCATTATTAGCACTATAATAAGTGTTTCTTGTTCATGGTAAACAGATTATTTAGGAGGGAATTATCAGATTTTGAGTGTAGTTTCCTGCGAATACATAGCAATAGCATAACTACATTGACATTTCTACCATGTGTTTATTTAGGATATGCATTAGATACATTAGAGCGTGTGTTAGTGAAAACTCCCTTCACTCTGAAAACAAAATGGTGGGGGAGGGGGAGAAATCTACGATATACAAAGGTTAAACATAGATATTCCATCTGATTTATGCAAATTAATGTTTCTTAATGTGTGGTGGGGAGGGGTGAGGGCATTTGTGCTGAATATTGCAGTGTAATAATAATACAAAACCTTACATTTGATACAGAGCCTTATCACGTCTTCGAGACGTCTCAAAGCGCTTCACAGGATATACTGTAAAGTGAATTGACTGCATATTTTGTGGGCGAAACGCGGCAGCCAATTGCGCACAGCAGTAGCAAGTCGTGGATTGTGTGACCAAATTATTATTATTTTAGCAGCATCTCCTACAATAAAAATATATAGCGGCATCAACAGGTTTCAAAACCATTTTGCGGCCGATGCTGGAAAATACAATTGAGATGAGACCCTAAAAGAAATGATGCACAATAAAAATAATAATAATAATTATAGTATTTGGTACAGCCGCTTATCGTGCAATTAAACCACCAGGGAAGACTGTGCGCTGCGGAATGTGTATAAGGGTCTTTGCAAGGGAATTATATTTATTATTTATTTATGGATTTATTTATTGCTTGGACGCGCCAGTTGGAGATGTGAGTTAAATTGGAGGTCAGTCTCAATCGCTAAGACGTGGCAATGACATGCTCTCAGCATCTTTGCCTTCCAGTTCCACACAGGGACTCACTGACGTCAATGGCTGGACCAATTTGACAAGATTTTGCTTTCCTCCCCCCAAAAAACACACACACACAGACACAGACACCAGCAGAATAAAAAAAAACAAAGCTTAAGTGGCTTTTGGTGCAAATCAACTGCATCCAGACTGTTTTAGCTTTAGCTTACCACAAACACACCTACAAACCTTTATATACACACACAATATATATATATATAAATACACATTTAAATACCCAGACCAGGGCTAATCAATCAGTATAGCAAGGACACTGCAGTATACAGTACTATCCATATCTTACACAGTTTTAACAAAGGATCAACCTATTTCTGGGGGAAAGCAAAAGCACTGTATTCTGTTCTAATTCTTTTCATCCTTTTTTTTTCCCCCCTTTTATTTTGGTTCCCAGTTTCATTTATATTTAAAAGCCCTGACTTTATTTTTTTTAAAAAAAAAACCTTACCTCCCAGCTTCTGGGTTTTTCGATTTCATTTCATTTTCTGATCTGAATTCCTTTGGTCCCCTCATCGTTTTTTTCTGGTTGAAATTTCATTCATAACGTTCAAGATTTCTCTCGTCCACCCAAACCCCCTCTGAACGTGTCGTGGATGATGCCACACTTTTACTGCATTTCTTTCCCCCCCCCCACCCCATCTCTCTCTCTCTCTCTCTCTCTCCCCATCCTTTGCAAACAAGTTGAGCATCTGTAACTCGGATTCACTGCTTTATTCTGACACTTTAATGCATTTTAAAGGAAGAATTTATTATCTGCAATGCTGCACACGAGCAGGATTTTGAAATAGAGGTGGTGGTGGGGGGGGGAAAGGGGAGCTCTGTGGCCACTACTAATGAGTTTCAATTAATGCATTCAATTGGGCTTTGCAGACACACAGCCTTTTAATTTATTGCCTCGACTTTATTCACCTGTTCACAGGGACAGAGTGTAAAATTTCAATGACCTGCACTAATCATGGCAACCAGAACAGTGTGAAACATGCTATTCAGATTCCCCCCTCCACCCCCTTCTCTTGATTTATTTTTTCTTACCTTATCATTGACCTTTCCCCCCCCCCCCCCCCCCTGGCCTTTGTAGATTTTTTTTTAATTCGGATTTTTCCAGTTATTTTTGTATTTTTATCATTATTTTCGTTTTTATATTTTACGACTTATATATATATATATGTGTGTGTGTTCCGAGGTTATATTTTTCTATGGATGTTCTTTTTTATATTTTTCGATTCGTANTTTTTTCCGGTTGGGACAGTGTATTTCCCGCACAGCGGCGCTTTATTTTGTTTGTTGCAACATTCAATGCAGTGAACACAGTCACTGATGACTTCACATGAGTGTGAGCATAAATGCAGTTGGATAATACTGATATTGCCATTTTCGGGGATAATCTGAATGATGTACAATTTTTTTTATTTGCAGCTCCTCTTAAAAGAAACGTAAGTAATTCAAGTCAAAGTCACATGAATTCATTAGCCGTTTTCATTAATCAATTATAATTCTTACATTTGATATCAACGCCTTTCACGTAGGGAAGACGTCTCAAAGTGCTTCACAGGATTTATTGCAAAGTGCAGCGACTGTCCGGTGAAACGATTCTCAATCCAATTCGATGGGATCGGTCAATAAAGNTTTTTTTGTACAAAACTGTATTGGCTTATAGTCATCTATAAATCGCATGTAGATCTATAGACCCCCCCGCCCTATTATTGTTTAGTTGTATTCAGTGTTATTTTTAGATCATGTGGTTGTTAATTGATCATTTGACCACGGGGAGAAAATCTGAAATTAATGTGTATATTATTATTAGATTATTAAACACTTGCAAAAACACAGCGCCGCTGCAGCGTTCTAGTGACAGTAACAAAGGGTAATTCAATTTTAATTCCACAAGACTGCAGCAGCGTCCCTCTGTAACGTGGGATTGAGCTACGACAAACGTGGAATGTGCTGCGTTTTGAACATGGAAATGCCCATCTAATTGCGTGGTCTATTTCACTCCGGGAGAAAGAAAACAGAATTCACAGGAAGAAATCTGTGGATTATTGGAATATTCCCAGATACCCTGCGCTGTGGAATGAATCCGTCATCCCCTTTGCCTGATTGTTTTGTGTTTGTTTGAGGGCAGGAAGGATACTCCGTTGACCGTATCGACTCCAGCTTTCTTAAGGGATCTCCCCGCTCGCCTCTATCGAATTGAGACCTGAAGCTAAAAAGATCACAATACTGGGAATCCTGAACGCACTCTCTCATTCTGTGGCACAGTTAGAATGTCAACATGCATCAGCACGCCACCTGATGGAGAGTGTTTAACTGAACCCAATAGGTTTTTGTTTTATCAGCTGATGCCCCCTATCTGACTCGGGGGCACTTTTTAAATACTTTCAAACGGAACTTTTAAAACGGAGACAATTTGCACTTTGGGTGGATCAGAATGCATCAGTCAATAATAATAATAATAATCCTTGCATCCGATATAGCGTCTTATCCCTACTCTCTCCCGACTCCACTGGCTTCCCATCACACAAGAGGATACAGTTCAAGATCCTGGTCCTCACTTTCAAAGCCCTCCATGGTCTTCCTCCCCCCACACCCCCCTCCACCGCTGCGATCTCCTAAACCCCTACCAACTTGGCCACTCCCTCCGCTCAGCAGGCTCCGGCTTGCTTCACGTTCCCCACCTCGCCCGCCCTACGATTGGCGGGGAGGGCTTCGGCCACTCGGCCCCCACCCTCTGGAACGCCATCCTGCAGTCCCTCCGCCTCGCCCCCTCCTCGCCTCCTTCAAGACCCATCTCAAAACCCTCCTCTTCGACCGTGTCTGCGGTCACCGTACATTTTGTTGCTGAGGTCTCAAAGCACTTCACAGACTATACTGTAAAGTGAATTGACTATTTTGTTTTGCTCTTCACATTTGACAGTTCTAATTGTCGGACTTATTTTTTTTTAGCTGTTCCTTAAGGTATTCCTCACAAAAGATCAAAGTACAAATAGTGTGAATCCTGAAGCCACATCAGAGTAACTGCTATTGATTAAAAATGTACATTTCTGTGTAAGTGAGGCTGCTGAAAGGAAATAACAGCTTCATACTAGCAGAAGGGATGAATTGACTTTCCTCATGGCTTTTGTGCATCAGAGCAGTTTGAGTACATTATGTTGAACGGAACCAGAATATCCACTGTTTGTGGGGCAATTCTGTGTGTAAATTGCTGCTGCATTCATCTACAAAATAGTTATTACACTTTATAGTAAATCCTGCGAAGTGCTGCGAGACGTTTCCCGTCGCAAATAGCACTCAAACAGTAAAGATTATTAAATTATGAAAGGTAGAAAAAATAACAGAGAGAGACAAAGTTACAAGACAAAATTCAAAATGTCAAAGAACGGGGGAAAGAAAAGGCATAGCGACCATCACGTCCACTCCCAGATTATTCCCCATAATTGCTTGTTTTCATAAATATCCCATCTGAAAGACGACACCGTCATCAAAGCAATACTTCCTCCACCACGGTCAACCTAGATTTATCAGGTCAAGGGATGAAGTGGGACTTGAAGCCAAAACCTTCTGACCTGTAGGTGGGAGCGCTAACCTATTCAGCCAAACTGCCAGTCACATTGGAAAATATGGTATCCTCCACCGCAGGTGATGTGTTCGCTGGAGGCTTTCTGAGAATATACCTCCCTGGGAGGTTTTGTACTGTGCACTGCATTTCTGGCAAAAGGGAAAATGGTCCCTTTCTCCCCTGAGGCGTCTCGTTAGCAGATGCCAGAAGATGATTTATGATTGCAATATCACACTCATCTCTGGAAACCATCACAGCGGGTAGAGAAATTCAGAAACAATAGGAAACTAGAGAGTGAGTGAGTCAAAATGAAAAGCACAGCTTCAAGTAGGAACAGAGACTTCAGATGAACTTCAGAACAGAATGTCTAGCTTTCAGTTTAAGCCTTGTAACACTGGGCTTTATTTTTCAGACAAATGGTTTATATTGAACACCAATTTATATAATGCTTTTCACATCCAATGAGGATCTTGCAGTGCTTCACAGAACGAGATGAATTAGAAATGAAATGCATAGTATGCAGGCAAATTCAGCAGCTACTGTAGTCTGCACAAGCAATGAATGTTCTACAACAGTAATGGGATGAGCAGCAAATTAATTAGTTTTTTTGGGGGGGTAGATTTGTAAGGAGGAAATAAAACTGGGAGGAAATTTGTATTTTAAATAGTAACCGGGGTGGGGGGGGGGGAGTAAGTGTCATAGAATCATAGAATTGTACAGCACAAAAAGAGGCCATTCGGCCCATCGAGTCTGTGCCGACTCTTTGAATAGAGCAATTAACGTCAATCACACTTCCCAGCCCTCTCCCCATAACCCTGCAAACCCGTCCTCCTCAAACTGAAGCCTAAATTAATGTCTGATGAAAAAGATCACGATGACCTGGGAACAAATAATAAACTTGTATTTAAGGCAGTATTTTATCCTTCCAAGATTCTCAAATAAATTGGTTTATAATGAAAGAGAGACAGATAAAAATAGTGTTCATGGAAGTCTTCTTTCTGATTATTGTATAGGTTTTAAATGAAGCCGTCGCTCGCTTCCTGAAGTAACGAGATCATAGTACAAATTCAGCTCGAGTTTATTACTAGTCATCACAGATCATCTCAACCTTTTAATTTCTATAGTGATTTCCAATCAGAGAGACGGCTCCACGATCACATCTCACCTGTGTGTTCAGAGAAGCAGCATCTCAGTGCTGTGTTGTTTCTGACTGGCAGTCAGCTTTTGGTGCAGATAGCTGGGGAAAATAGCATTTTTATTTATACATCAAATGTTATGCCATGAAGTGTTTGGACCATTTTTCTTTTTTCTGGGGGACATTCTCTCTTGGAGCTCTCATCCTAACTGCCGGCTATTTCCCATACTTTTTTTCCCCCCACATATTGTTCGTTCAAAATAGTCGTACTCAGAACTGTTGCTTTTTAACGGTTTTCAAGTTTTCCGCGCTTAATGTCTCTCCCTGGGTCTGAACAGTACCTGCCCGTTTTAAGATTTAAAACCAGAAGTTGATATTTCCTTCAAATCTAACTTTTCCTATCTCAACGTTTTTTTTAACATTATTGGGTTAGTTGAAAGCAGTTTTATATTCCACTGATGCCCTCTAAAGGTCCAAACACCCAACTACAAGCAGCCACTTGCAATCTGAACAGCACGAGAGAGAAAATATTAACGATCAGACGTTTCAGCCTCAAAATGCTTTACAGGATTTACTGACGAGTGTACTAACTGCGCATTTTGTAGGCGAACTCGGCAGCCAATTTGCACACAGCAAGGTCCTACAAACAGCCGTGAAGTGAATGACCGTTTTTACCTGGAGGATTGTTGCCTCCAAGAACCCAGGAAAAGTTTCTCGTTTTGATAATGCGGTGGGATCCTTAACATCCACCTGAACAGGTTTTAATAGCCTGGATTCGATGTCTCGTCCACAGGACGTCCAAACAATGCAGCGCTCTCCGAGCTCTGACCTGGACTGTCAGCCTACGCTGTGAGCTCAAAGTCCTGACGTGGGGCTTGAACCCACAACCTTCTGACTCAAAGGTGAGGTGCTACCAACCGAGCCAAACCTGAGATCAACGTAACAGCAAAAAATATAATTTAACGTATATAATTTTTGTTGAGAGCAAAATAAATTAGGACCGTTGGTTATTTATGCAGTATGAATAATTCCATTTAGAAAATGATTTTTTTTCGGTAACCATTTATTCAGGTTTCAGAGCTTCATAGCAAAAACTCTGTATATGATCTTTAGTTACATAGAATTATAATTACATACATTCTTGCAAGTATGATCCCTGGTAGAACAGGGCAGAATCGATAAATCCTATTAAAAAGTTACACGAAGAGCTTACTCCAGGTAATAAATGCACCCTCCCCCCACCACCCCTCTAAGTTATGACCAAACCAGGAAAAGAAATTAATTCTGTAAAACAAAAGATCGTAGAAAGTGATTAACCCAGCCACCTGATCATGTCTGCACAATACTGTATAGTTTCAAACTTTGTCTAGAAAGACTAATAAAAAAATATCCTCTGTCAAAATCAAATTAAGATATTCTTAAATTGTGTCTTATTTATTTCATCTAGGTTAGCTTTTGATTTGTGCTAAATTTGCATAGTTTGTCAGTGAAGCTTGCATCTAAACGCTGTATGATTGTGTAAGCAAATTTAGAAAAGAACGTAAAGATGTAAACGCAGCAAAAAAATGTAATTGCAGTTCCCTCATACGTTTAGTCATTTTTGGTCAATCATTTTGTGTGCTTTACGTAAAATAAGCAGTGGGGATACCTGTCGGTAATAACACAAGTCGAGGGCACACCACTTTAACAACCTGTTGGCATGTTAAAAATAAAAAATTTAAGGCCTAAAAATTATCTTTTCACCAGATTTTGCATATTTCACACCCATTCCCTTTTAAAAATGTAGTCAATAAAGCACTTTGGTAACTTAACCGTCCTAATAATACAGAATAGGGGCTTCATATAGGATTACTTGCAGAGACTATAATGGCAGCAATGAGCTCCTGGATACTTTACTGCTGGTTTTAATTTATTCAGGTCAGTCAAAAGGAACTAACTACACAAACCTACCCAAATTTAGCAAGAAAGTGCATCTCACCTGCAAACAAGATTGTTAAAGAGCTGAAGTATGAAGTAGATTACAGATCAGCCATTCTAACTAGAGCTTTTGATAAAAAGGCAGATTAATTAATTTATATGGGAAGGAAAATATTGTCAGATAAATATATTTTGTTGATCATGTACACTATAATTAATAATAGTTCAAAGGGAAAAGCAGTTTCGATGTTAGTAATCCTGCTGTTTCTGGCACGTTTCTTCCCAATGCAGTCAAGTGTATGGGGAATACTGCAATAAACAAGGTCCTTGTTATTATTTTATAAATGTGGCACTTTATATATTATCAGCTCTCCATAATAACACCAAGCTTTTTCCTCGAAGTTAATTTTCTCAACCCACTCACAGCCTGTGCATATAATACAGAGTACTACATTCATGTGTGAATAGATGATTGGAAAAAGACTTGGCTCCTTTAAGCAGAAAGCAATTGGCAGCCAGGTTAGTCAGACCACTCCTCGTCATCAAACTCGGACTCCTCAGAGTCGCTGTATTCAACAGCAATTCGCCGAGAGAGGATCGTGGCCACATCATTGCCAACGTGGTCCCTCTTCTCCTCCAGCTGACGCTGCTCTTCAACTTTACGAAGCTGAAAGCCTGGAGAGCAAACACAATAGGTTGCAGATTACAGGTGTAACGTTCACACGGCAAAATTAACTCACTCAAATCGTCTCATTTTCAACTGTGCATTAATTACGTTGTTGGAATGTTTGGCCTGACTGAAGCCGTTTGATATAACACTGATGGCAGATCGAAACTGCCTATGCCCTTTTCACAATTTACTGTAAACGTCGGTTCAATATACATTGGCATTTCACTCTCATAACCTTTCACTGATCTGCAATCGATAGAGACGATTGTAGTAGAGAAACTAATAAGGGGAAAAAAAGGCAAGCTTTTTTTAAAAAAAATACACATACAGTGCCTTATCGTATTAAAGAGAGTCACTAATTACTGTCAAATATAGAGGCTGATCTTATTGACAAAAAGTCGGACTTCCCCCATAATTTCCACTACGTAATACCTTCCGAAAAGTCACCCAGTAACTGCCCCTTTGCTTTAGGGATCATCACAGACACAGTGTATTTGAAGCTTACAGCAGATGGCAGAAGGAAATTGCATAGACTTTCTGGGTTTTCTGACTTCCTTCTCCCAGCGTGAATTAAAGGGACAGTGCTACGAGCCTTACCTTGCCGAATAGCGGAGAGCATGTCACCCCTAGCGTCACTCACTGGGGGCAGAGACGCTTTGGGTTTAGGATCCGAGGCTGGGGGTGGCGGTGCTGGAGCACTCCCAAAGGATGAAGAGGGTTGACCAGGGGGAGGGGGAGGGGGAGGTGGTGGGGGAGGGGGGCCTCCTGCTGCGGATGAAAACGGTGGGGCTGGCGGACCGGAGAACTGGTCGATGGGGGGAGGTGGTGGGGGGGCTGGTGGAGCAGCGAAACCGGAAGAACCTGCATGGAACTGCATTGGCGGCATGGAAGGAGGGGGAGGTGGAGGTGGAGGGGTGTCAGGAGGTGCCTGCCCCCCATAATCTGCCATCGGCGGTGGGGGTGGGGGAGCTGGGGGTGGAGCAGAACCAGTACCCAACGGTGGACCATGGGGAGGTGCTGGAGGAGGAATACTTGGACTGACATAGCTCCCCCTTTTAGAGGTCAACGAAGCCTTTTGCTGCATGTCCGCGGAGTATCTATAGAAAGAGAAGAATAATTAACACAAACGCAACAAATTGCACCTTTAATAGAGTGTTCTCAATTTCACCTTCTAACTGGTATGTTTTTAATGACAGTGGACATTTACCATTGTCCAGCACAATCTGGTATGGAACAGGCACCGTTCCTTGTAGCCCTAACGAATGTTCGAACACGCCCTTAACTCTATTTAAAACTTTTCTGTACAAGTAACAAGCAATAACACTTTGCGGGAGACTTCTGCCATCAGACCCATCTATTTGGGTCACAGTGTCAATGTCCAAAAGGTTATAATTACAACATGAAATAACTGTACAAATCTAATCTACGGTTGACCTCGCTGTATGTGGAACCAGGAACAGTAGCGTATTTTGACAGATAGCTGATCTTACCCAAAATCAAGCGGTGGTGGAGGTAAATCAGAGGAAGGTGACATTGGGGGAGAAGGAATGGAATCAGTAAACCCTCCATGGGTTCTATAAACAGGAACATCGCTTCCATCTGGAATTATGCCTCCATTATGATTGACCATGTCACCCTGCGGCCTGTAAAACAGTAATGTTTAATTACCTGGAGAAGTTTGTTTTACCTTCACAATTCTGGGATACTTGTGTCTTTCTTTAGGAACTGTATCGCCCAAAACATGTGCATTAAAGCTGTATAACTAACATTCAGGTCAAATGCGCGTCTTGAGAAGTTAAAATTTTCAATTGGTACTAACAACCAGATACTATGGAACAGATTCAAACATCTTGTCTTCCAGAATATTAATGTTATGCGGACATCTGTTTGCATAATGACACCACCCCGCTTGAAAGTTAATTTTCAGAAACAGATGCAAACAGATGGGCTCAAAGGCTGCGATTTCTACACTAGGAATATCAGAAATGCTCACAAAGGAATGACCTTTTCTTTCCCAGAATGCTGATGTTATACATGCTAAAATGTAAAGGAATAAATATACCCTGAGTGCATGTCACATCTGACTCAGTGCCAGTAATGACTGTCTCTGTGTGGATATAGACTTAGTGATGATCTCTGTACAATTTGTTCTCCCATCTCTGGATAAGATCTGGTCTGTATCACCAAATGCAGCATTTATTAAAGACTTATTCTTCAAGGCAATTTAATGGAGGGTAATTGCTGAAAATAGATTTGTAATGCATTTTGAAATATTTCATCCAGATCCAACCACTTGCATGCATGCAGAAAGGCATCTGGCTGCTCTTGTGATGTATAGCATTTATAATAATAATCCTTGCATTCGATATAGCGCCTTATCATGCCTTCTAGACATCTCAAAGCGCTTCACAGAATATACTGTAAAGTGAATTGACTGTATATTTGTGGGCGAAATGCGACAGCCAATTGCGCACAGCAGTGTCTCACAAACAGTTGTGGATTGAAGTGACCAATTTATTATTGTTTTTTTTTTCTTGAGGGATTATTATTTTGGGAGTCTATAATAAATGTCGGGACCATAACCCATTTGCCTTACAAGTGAGACAGAACTTGAAGGGGGAAGGGTATTGTAACAGGGTTTCCCCCATATCTGGTGACTCCCTTCCGTGCCCCGTCATAACTATATTGTCAAATGCTTTCAGTTAAAGACCAGGATATGCAACAGGTGAGAATGTATCGAAAACTGCATCATCAGGTAAGGCAGTAAATCTATATAAGCAGATTGCATCAAATACATTGATAAGCTGGCTTAACACTGGAGGTCAAATATTGTATTTCAAAAATAACTTTAAATAAACATACATAAGTTCATCCTGAGATGGTTTTGCTTCTACAAATTCCTTGCCCATTTTCATTCTTTCCCATTCATCTTTCCTTGTTCTGATCTTCCTTGGATTCAGATTGCCTCTGCTGGAAACATCCCTTTTCTCTTTCTGGGGTAGGAGAGAAGTGAGAGAAAGAAGTCATAACTGGCAATGAAAAATACAGTTTACAGCATTTTAAGGTCTCATAATTAAAGAGAGAGCAGAAGCAGATTGAATGCACGCAAACACTAACGTTGCAAAACATTCAAATACTGCAAAATATCACGGCTGAGGCATGAAATAAGGAAATAAGGCACCAGCAGTGTTCTGTCAGTTTATAAGCTCATGGAATGAGACTGTGAATCAAATTTCTGTTGCATTTACTAAGAATCTTTAGTCGTGAGGAAAAAAATTATCCAGATGTTGGGTTGACAGTCTTGGACTACATTTATATTGCATTTCTCATTCCCAAAAATGACAGCTATTAAAAGGAGAACATCCACTTGGCATTTTCACTGCCTCTCCTTAACAATTCTTTACCCACAGTCAAATTCAAATGACTCCAAATATTAAGCACAATTTCTGCTGATAATTCAACACTTTTAATACAAAAAAAACTTAATAAGGAAAAGGTCTCAGAAATGTACTTTTGAAGGAGGAAAGGCTAGATAAGTATGAATTACTTCCCCATCTCTCTCTCCTTTAAAGACACCCACAATGGCCAACTGCTCAGAAATATTCTCAGAGACCTGGCGTTATAGTTCTCTGCTCCCCTTGTGTAGGTTGCGTGTGTGGTTGAGGCAAATTCTGTAGGCAACCTGGTCTAATCCAGAAATAATGTCACAATTGACATTAAATCCAGTGGTAGTTTTGTGCCCTCATATGCACTGCAGGTTGAAATATTCCAGATCTCAATAACTGTGTTACAATGGTTTCCCCTCTAACTGGTACCAAAATTAGAAACCCTAAGGGGTAGACTTCCAACAAGACAAAAATTATTAAAAGATCATTAAAAAATAGCTGCTAATAAATGGAGAAATTAAGGGNTTTTTTATTATAGAGAAAGAACACCAATCTTTCATTCCCCTTTAATCAATATTTGTCTCCAAAGACATATTTTCCCGAGGATGTTTTGCTTCCTGCGCACTATGATCCAAAAATATCTTTTTCGGTCGATATCATGTTAACACTGACGGGCAGTGCCAGAGATTATTCCCACTTGGCCAATTAACTGTCATACAGAGGTATTTTCTTATACCTCAGTAAAGCTGCAATAGTCTGTAAAGCCAGCATGCCAATGTTGCTGCTAAATAAATGCTAGAGCAACTGCTGCCCGCCCACAGTGCAGCTCACGAGAGAGAGAATCCGCCACTGGACAGGCAAGAGTTTTAAAAGGCCATGCACACACACGACAGCTATTAACAAGATAGCGATTTTTATGTAGAATACAAGGGGTTACCCACAACCAGATCTGGCTGGGTTTAACACTCTGCTACCTCCAAACACATGCTGGCATGCAACCTCTACCTGTCGAGACTTTTGTCACGTTGGTATAAGTTTAGCATGGTTTTGGACTGCCATGTTCTTGCTAGTTTTATATGTCAGTATCATCCTGCCAGTGTAAAAAAATCAGGGTAGGTATTACTAGTGTAGAGATGACTTGAAAAGACACAATAGTGGTTTAGTTTAACATGGAAAAAATTATCCGGGGGGAGAAAGAGAAGAATCAGATATACATATACTCAATATACAAGTTAAACTCTTTAAACATACACACACTTTCTATTATTTGAAATTCTAAAAAAAAGCAATACCCGGTGTTTCCTTTTCTCTTTCATGATATCCTTGGTGTCCTGCAGCATTTTCTCCTTCCAGAGATCAAAGAAGTAAGAAGGATCTGTGTAAAACTTGAGGCTCTCTTTTCCATCATCCCTGGAACAGAAGTCGACAAAAGAATAAGAACGCCATTCATTTGAAGTTCCATTACAATGCAAATTCTGATAGAAATAGCTCTCTGTGGTCAGAAACCAAAATACTTTTGTGTACGAAGTGAAAATTCGTAGCACAATCGCGCACAATGTTTTGTATGCAAGAATGCAAGCTGGTATTTGCATACAAAACATTGTTCTCAGCAATGTAATAGTCACACATTTGCATAGTGTTTAGCTGAAACTAATTTATGTAAAGTTGTCCACCATTGCAAAGTGTGATTTTAACAGAATAACAGAAAGTAGTCAAAACAATTGACTGCGTACCCCCGGCAAGTTCCAGTTGGCAAAGCATGATTTTGGTTACCTTCAAGTAAAGCAGAACTATTTTAGCAGTTCTCAAAGTAGATCTGTGTTGTTTTTAATAGTTTTGTCTTGTAAAAGTTTAATATAGAAACTACACGGTTCACGGAACGGTCAATGCAGAAATGCTTTTAAGCTAAATTTGGAACAACAGCTAGCACTCCCAAAGTAAATCAGGCCTGCTCATTGCGTTTTCCATTTGAAAATGGACTCAACTAGCCCTAAAAATTGGTAATGGAACAGCAACTTTCGGATTGCAACAATTCCTGCAAGATTTCTGCATTCCTATCAAGTCGCAAACATACTGTGTGATGCAACAAACTAAGGTAACATAAGAGTCATATATATATGCATATAATATATTGTATATTTATCCCTTTTCCCTCATATATCCCTTACTCCTTCAGAATATAACTTTATAGTTTGCTCAGCAGGCACCTGCGTTTTCTGAGGAGAGGGTAACACAATGTTGACATGAAGCTAAAAGACATTCCATACCTGAATTGGGTCAAAATATTCAGCGGTGGAGGTTTGTCACCCAAATTATAGGTGTCACAGATAGGTAGTGGCAGAGATTCACGACAGAACAACTGCTGATCCTGCTTTGGGGAACTCCTGAAAGCTTTCCTCAGGTTAATCCCTTGCAGCGAAACTGCAAAAAGGAATATTTTTAATCCATGTTAGAATTAAATGAACAGTTCATACTAATCTGTAAGTGATGCTAATTGTCAAGTAAATGTGAATTATGTTTCAAAATTTTATTCTCACCATCTTCTACTTTGGGATCAAGTTGTGTTACTTTAAGTTGCAAACGCTCAATCCTATCCCCAAGGCTGTTTACCCTAATGGCAAAGCTGCTTGCTTCGTTGAACAATTCACCAAAGATGTCCTCGGCAAATTTGCCTGTCAATAATGAGAAAAGCAGGTTAACAGCAATTAGACACTACATTTTAAATGTCATGATTCAAAAATATATACAATGCTTTTGGCTATTCCAAGATAGGGGCAACGTTTACAGCTTCAAGGATGTGAAGGATAGTTTTAGAAAGCATTTCTTCAAATAGAAAGTAATAAAGAGTAAAAAGAATAGTTAAGAGCAGGGGACTGGATTCATTTATAATCTAACTGGATGTTATAAGAAAATGGTAGGATAGTATCTGGAAGGATGAAATCAAATAGCTGAAGGGTTTTCTTCATCTCAACTTCTCGTCATCTTGTGAAATTTAACACATACATAAGAAACCATGCTGCAAATCTAGGGTGACATTTAAGTGTTTCATAGAAAAACACTGGGTGTATGGGAAAACACGTCTTTTGTGTATCATTTGCAAACAAATTGAAACAGCAGATGGATGCAATACTTACTCAGACTCCCAAGCTGTCTGATGACATTTGCGAGAGTGATATTCGTTACACACTCCAGCTCACTACGAACACTATTAGGCAGAGGCTGGCGGCACAAGTCCCTCGGTTCGATGTTCCTCGTCACTAAAGGCATTGTGGCGCAGGTTCTGACAATAATTCAACACAAAAAGACCTAGAAATGCAGAATTTTAAAAAATGTCAAAAAACATAAGAAGCAGAACACAGTGTGACATTTTAATATTACAAAACACACCGTTGGAAGGCAACACTCAATTCCAATCTCGACTTTGGGAAACGCTGACACAATCTCCCTTGTATCTCAAAGAGGGTTTTAATTTGTATTTTGCAAAATCTGTATTTTTCTTCAACTTGTCATTCCATGGCATTTGCATCTCCATAGCTGTGCAATCATATACATTAAATAATTCGGATTTTCACACAAATACTAAAATTAAAAACCTCAAGTTGAACTTCTAAACAAAATGCATACATTTTTAAAAGGTTTTGAAAACTATTTGAGCTCCACAATTTGAAATATTAACATATTTCTCTGGTTACCTGTTATTTTCATCATATACTCCTTCCCTTAATACAGTATTGTCAACAATCTGGACACCACTGGACATTTACTGTACACTGGAGTGATATCTAACAGAATAACATTGATTTAAGTCACTTCTCACTGGACTTAACCTNAAAAAAACTGGGTTTTTGGCAAGAACTTTATTATCCAATTCTTTGTAGAATACATTAACAATTATTATAGTCGCTATTTATCTAAACAATCGCTCAGACTTTCTCTTTTGTAACCATGTGATTGACATATGGAGGTAGCAGCCAAGGAATTACTATATAAGGTTGTATTACTGAGTCTTTTCAACAGCAACATCCAATACTTTACATACATAGTCATCAGCTAGAACATCAACACCTCAGGAACAGAAGGCAAGCAGCACTTCTGCTAACTTAGAGGAAGTGTGTTTTATCAAACCGTTATAAGAGGATAGAGGTATAAACTAAACATTCAAAGGGCCACCTGGAAGAATAATTTTGTATACTTATCCGTTAGTTTAATTATAATTAAAACTAGAGCAACAACTACGTGAGGATGTAAAAGAGTCTCTGCTCATAGGTCAAACTGCTGATTTCTTAAAATATCAAACCGAGTAAATCTATTGCCCACAAAATATACAACCAATTCATTTTACAGTAGAGAGCTGGGAAAACTCAGCAGGTCAGGCAGCATCTATGGAGAAAGGAAAGTAAGTCAACGTTTCGGGTGACAAAGGGTCGTGGACCTGAAACGTTGACTCACTTTCTTTTTTCTATAGATGCTGCCTGACCTGCTGAGTTTTCCCGGCTCTCTCTGTTTTTGTTTCAGATTCCAGCATCTGCAGTATTTTGTGTTTTGTTCACTTTACAGTATATTCTGTGAAGCGCTTTGAGACGTCTCAAAGACATGAGGCGCTATATCAAATGCAAGGATTATTACTGTATTTATTATTATCCACTGCATCTTCTATATGGCCTTCACAATCTTCCTAAAGTGGGTGACCAATACTCAACCGTATTGGCTGTCTAGCTGCACATTAATTAACCTCCAGAAGCGTTATTAGAGATATTTGACATGAATCTTATGATGTTGCAGAAGTGCAATACATACCATGATGCACGAGACTCACATTTTACCTTTCTATTATTCCTCGTATTAAATTGCAGAATCATAGAAATTAGAGCACTGTTCTGATAGCATGATACCTCTGGAGTATTGCAGACCATAATGTAAATGGCAAATACAATCCCTGCCAACAAAGCACTGGAAGTTCTGCTTGTGGTTTCCATTTAAGCAGGAATAATAATAATAATAATCCTTGCATTTGATATAGCGCTTTTCACGTCGGGAGGACGACCCAAAGCGCTTCACAGAACACACTGTAAAGTGAATTCACTGTATATTTGTGGGCGGACGCGGCGGCCGATTGCGCACAACAATGTCCCACAAACAGTCGTAGATTGAAAATGACCAATTTATTATTGTTTTGGGTTTTGGAGGATTATTATTAGGCTCTGTGTGGAGTAAGGAAACTTGCCCAAGGTTTCCCCCTCTGCCTGGGATTGAACTCAGGTCTTTCACTTGCAAAGTGAGTGCTCTAACCACTGAGCTGCAGGACTCCAGTATTAAATTGTTGAGCGTTTGATGTAAGCTAGTTACGTTACACCATATAATCTTACTCAAAATATATCCTGTAGAAATTGCTGACTGCTATACTGCTTTGGCAACAGGGAGTGAAGCAACAGATCAGTCGTGCTGGATTATATAGAATACAATAATTGTTGGGTTAGCCTAGGTGTACAACAGGCGATGCAAGCCACAAATTCATATTTCTAATCTAATACTACAATATTGAGTTTTTTTATTAATCTCTTTCCACTGCACCGATGCCCATAAATTACACAGCCAAACCACGTTACTGTGTATCCTGTGAAGCGCTTCGAGATGTCTCGATGAAGTGATCAGGCGCAATATCAAATGCAAGGAGTATTATTATTATAGAATTTATTTAAAAATAGTGGAATACTAACTCTGTTGTGAGCTTATAATATGAATGAGCTAAACAGATATAACAGAAATAGCCCCGGACTAAATTGCACTACTATTTCACATGCGAGGCACTGAATACAAAAGTAGGCAAGCAGCTTTTAAGTTGCAAAAGATAAAGTTAATAATCTAGGTTTTAGTTCCCTATTGGGGTTTCACACACATTTCTGTCTTGACTACTTTGTACAATACTTCTGTAAAATTTAAGTTTGCTTATCATCAGTTCGTTTACAATCTGCCGGCTAGGCAGCCTTTGGGGATCGGTTTCTTTCCATAGCGCACACACACAAAAAAAAAACAAATGAAGGAAACAAGAGAATTTATACAACTTTCAAAAAATGCTAAACCGTGAAATTCAAGCCTCATTATAACTGTATACTGTGCTTAGGTTTCTAAAGTATTCAATAAAATGGTCATATAATTTTCAAGCCATAGGAATACATTACTGTATGATACTGGTGATATAATGTGTAACGCACGTAAACCCAAGGTTTTACTTAGGTTTAGTGTCAAACAGTTTCAGGCTATCGGTTCATCCAGGCCACCCATCCAAAATCCCAAAAGATTCCTTCAAATATCAAGAGGGCTACCTAATGAAGGTAAATGGGTTCTGGTATTTATAAATAGTCTTACAAAAGAAATAGGAAAGCCCTTTTTAAATTTCATAAATAATAGCAAAATCTCAGACTGGTATACTCTTGCAAAATATTCTAGAAGGGTGTGAATTACATCAGATGACTGTTGAAGACAACAGTTTAACACAATTCAATCTCTTCGGAACTTTTCACTCTCTACCCGAACATCATTGATGTGCACATTTTCGGAAAACTAAGGTGTCAAAAGTCCAAAAGAGAAAATTGCTCACATCCTCAAACGTGCCATAATGAAGTTGGATGGTTCTTTATCAGACATGTACTATAAGGACCACATTCAGGCGTTAAAGATTAGACAAGTTAAAAGTTTCCATGTTTTACAAAAATAGTTACTGTTGCACAGTGTTAAACCAATTACTTCCTGTTTTTTTGCAGACTGCACTTACTTGATACACAGCAGCCACTTGCAATGAATTGTATGGTACAAGTCACACATTGATACTTGTAAGGTTGGGTGAAAATTCATGCCAACAAAAATGTTCAGATTTAGGTCAATTAATTAAAGATTAATTAGTAGAACTGTACCATTTTATACAACGAAGGGCTTTACTGGAGGCTCTGTCAATTGTTCCTTTAAACTATTTGTGTGGGTGAAGTGAAAGAAAGGGGTTTTGGCTGATTTACAGTGACCGTTGAAACTCAATGCACCATGCATCCCCTTTTTGTGATTATTTTAATGAGGCAGTTTTGCAGATTAACTCCCTTCTCAATCAGCTGAAATTCTTAACTCTTATAAGCTGAATAATGCACAATAGGCCTGAAACTCCTCTTTGACCCATTTAAATCAGCAGAAATTTTAGAAAATTCTTAAATTAACTCTCAATTTAGAAGACCATCTTAAAAATTAGGGACTGAATTTAAGACTTTGCCTAGTACCTCACAATCTTAAACTTTGAAACAAAATAGTCCATCTCGACAGAATTTGGGGTCAAATATAGCCATCCAGTACACCAACAATTTCTTCTATCCTCATAGCTGGTTGCTGACAGGAACAGCTTTTTAAGCTGTATTTATATCAGTACAAAATAGATACCAGAACAAATTATACACAATTCCAGTTCCTCTTCTAAAACAAAAATACAAACCACTTAGATATATTCCCACAATCACACAACTGTACATAATACATGAAATGGAACAAAAAGTTAGTTTCATATTCACATATACAATGTCACAATCAGTTTTAGCATTTGTTGTGATATAAATTATATTGCATTAAAAAAACATCAACAATCTACTGAAATATGGACTGCTGTTAGAACTTACTCCTGCTTAAGCTGTCGTGTTTGGTCATAAGAAGCGATCTAAATTTATGAAACAAATCTTAGGCATGAGCAATCACGAGAGCATATTTTTAATAATTAACTGTGCTTTGAGGGGAAAAACAACAGTATTTGATTTGCCGTGATCTAACAAAATGGCAGAAGATAATGACAGAATGGGTTTGACAAGCCTACTCCTGTTCTTATCTCTTTAACATTAAGTTAATTTAGTCACTGTACTACGTAGAGTACAGAGCCTCCTCCGGTTGGTAGAATGCCTTCACAAATTCTGTCTGTAGTCCCCACCAACCCTATTACTTTGATGACTGAAATGTCATTTTCTGACGTCATAAGGGAGTCAAAGGAACTGCAGTAATTCTCATCTGTAAATTTAACAACATTAATAATAATGATCCTTGCATTTGATGTGGCACCCCATCATGTCATAAAACGTCTCAATGGGCCTCATAGGATTTTACTATGAGGAAAAATACTGAGACTGTATTGAGCGTTGACCATTTGATGGTGTGAGTTTATAATGAGAAGACGCATTCAGCCACTAATAACAAATGTACTGATCATCAGAAAATCAGCTTCTATAACTTCTGCACTCAAGTTGTCTCTTACCACTAATCAGCACGTAAGCCTTCCTTAAAAGACTTTTTGGGAATATTCAGCAAAATGTACTCCCCTTAAAGTGATGCAACACATGTTTTTTTAAAAAAAGTCATTGAAATTATTTTTTTTAGGTCAGCTGGGTGTCTGACCCGTCACTAAGAAGTACAGAAGTGCTCTGTTCTGTCCCTAACAAAATATTATTTCACAGACATGACCCCAAAGATGTTAACACATGGAATGGGGGTGTCAACACATCCGATATTGTTTCCACACTGTATGGTAATGTTTAGTAATATTGCCAATTTTGATATCACCTTGGAATTTAACATGATTGGAATGAGAAACATGCAATTGCCCACATCCAATGTACTCCCTCTCCTTTCCTTGGTAATGTGTAGCAAAGAGCAAACATGAGGCTTAACATCATATTTGTCAATACAGTATTAGTCACCTCTCCGTCATAGGCAGGGTCAGCAAAGTTTTGTTATTTTCAAAATTGAAGTGAATAACTACTTATTTTGTTTTAAAAATGTTAAAGTAAACAGCAGACTTAAAATCCGGTCAGTATTAAGAGTTTTCTGTCATGTGCTGTCACTTGCAAAAGTGATGGCTTCCTTAGAGACAGATGAGAAAGGTTTTAAGTACACACCCAAGTATGACTCAAGTGAACGGAAAGTCTGCAGATACAGTATTTAACACAGAAGAACTTATAGCCTATACGCTCCCCAATTAGTTTGACTGTTTCATGATTTCTAACAACATAGCTCGGTGCGCGTGGGTTTAAATTTCAAAAATAAAATAAGGAATTGAGGTTTTCACATCCACAAGCTGATTACCACATTAAGAAAAATCAATATTAGAAACGAATTAGAAAGCTTGACTTTCCTACAAAGTAAGCAACCTGTTGATTTTTTTTTCTTATTATTTTGCGACGGTGACGGTGCAATGTTAATTACAAAAATGGGTAACTTAAACGAAAAGGTGTCGACTATCAAAAGGTGGGGGGAGGACGGGGGGAACGTGCTCAAAATGAGTTGCAAGCTGGAATCACTAGATTCTTAACCCGGAACAAAGTACTTCCCTTCCTGAATCTGAAGGAATGTTTCAAGAAAGTTGAATTCGTTCGTGTTCTGACTGGTCACGTCAGCTTCTGCCTCAACTTTAAACGTTCTCAATCTCAAGGCAAAGCTTTTCCCAAACAGATGATCTGTGCCTGCAACTCTTCCCTGCAAAAAGTTTAGGCAACAAACAGGGGAGGGTGGTGGGGGGGGGGGTGGGGGGGGGGAGAGACACTGTGGATTGAGTGAGTCAAAATGACACCCACCCAATGAACAAAACCACTCACTGGTTGAAGATAACATCGGGCCACTAAGTTACCACCCATCCCTTTTCACCAGTGATGCAAAACAAATCTGCAATTTATAGGAAGATTTTTTTTCCCCCCTCTCCCTCCTCCTCTCCTCCCCCCACCCCAAAGTAAACATTAGAACAAATGATTTAAAACTAAATCATTTTTTAAAAAAATATATGGATATTATAGATACTATATATATTATATATATGTAAACACATACCCCAAAACAACACTGTTGAGGGCATCAGAAACATGATTTCATATAAACAACAGCTATTTCTGCTGCTGTTTTTTTCTCTCTCTCTCACAGTCTCTTCTTTCTCACTCTCCGTCTCAGTCTCTCTCTCTCTCCGTCTTTCTCACTCTCTCTGTCTCTCTCACTCACTCTGTCTCACTCTCTGTGTCTCACTCTCTCTCTCTGTGTCTCACTCTCTCTCTCTGTGTCTCACTCTCTCTCTGTGTGTCTCACTCTCTCTCTCTGTGTCTCACTCTCTCACACTCACTCACTCTCACACACTCACTCACTCTCTCTCACACTCACTCACTCTGTCTCTCTCACTCTCGAGGCCTAAAAAAAAGAGGAGCCCATTATTGAGCAGGAAGTTGGGAGCCGCGGCCGCCGCCGCCTCCACTGAACCGCCCGCCCCGTGAGCAACGGCCGGGAATGGAAGCCTCGTCCCGCCGCTCGGCCCTGGGCCCGATAGGCCTCGGGCCTGACGCCCGGCCCCTCCCGCCCGGCCCGGCCGTTCCTACCTGAGGTGAACAGTCCTCTCAAACGTCTTCCCGCCTCCAATCTCTCCCGTCGGGAATCCTCATGACACAACAGCTGAACTCCTCTTCTTCTTCCTCCTCTCTCTCTCTCTCTCTCGCCCTCTTAACAAGCGGCCGGCGCTACCGACCGACCGCCGCCAACCGCCATTACCGCCGACGGCTTAGCAACGCCTCAGCTCCCGCCCCCTTCCGTCACCCGCTTCCACCGCCTCGCGCGATTGGCCCAGACTGACCGCCGACCCGCCTTCCCATTGGTCAGGCCGCCCGTCACTCCGAGCTCCGCCGCAAGCGTCGCGTCGCGTCGCCGTGCGTCCTGACGTCTTCACGCACGCACGCACGCAGGGGATGGGTGGGGGGGTGGGAGTGAACGAGAGGAGGGTCGGCACAAACCATTGCACTTTTGGATGGCGGGCGGGGGGGGGGGAGATGGGGGAAGACCAACGCCAATGCCACGATTTTAGTCGTTCAGCTGATGGTATACTCCACTCCTAACATTTGTACTTCGGTTCAAGTGATCTCGAATCCCATTAGAGGTGGTGGTGGGGGGAGAAATGGGACTGTATTGAAAATAGGTGTACAGGCGTCCCCTCCGGTCGGGATTGTGGTGGAGCCCTGGTGTTGTGCACAATGTATCCACATACAATGTTCGGGGTTCAGTCGCAACAACAACAACAACCACAACAACAACAACCACCACCACAACAACAACCACCACAACAACAACCACAACAACAACAACCACCACAACAACAACAACCACCACCACCACAACAACAACCACCACAACAACAACAACCACCACCACCACAACAACCACCGCAACAACAACCACCACAACCAACCACCACAACAACCACCACCAACAACAACCACCACAACCACCACCACAACAACCACCACCACCACAACAACCACCACCACAACAACAACCACCACCACCACAACAACAACCACCACAACAACAACCACCACCACAACAACAACCACCACCACCACAACAACAACCACCACCACAACAACAACAACAACCACCACCACAACAACAACCACCACCACCACCACAACAACAACCACCACCACCACAACAACAACTTGCATTTACACTGCGCCCCTCACGCAAGGTAGCGCCCCAGAGCGCCTGACAGTGGCGGAGCACGACGCCGAGCCCGGGCTGGGGCTGTGTGGGTGCGGTGGTGGGGGGGGTGCGGTTTTTTTTGACCGTAGACGCGGTCAAACAGGAAGGTCTTCGGGCGCGATCCGAAAATGGGGATGGAAAGGGGCAAGGCGGCAGGGGCGGAGGAAGAGCGCCCCCACAGAGTTTTGGGGCGCAGTGGCTGAAAGCGCGGCCGCCGACATTGGGGCGGAGGGCACCAGGGGCGGGCAGAAGTCCGGAGCCAGTCGAACGGAGGCAGCGGGTTGTGCAGAGGTTGTCCTCGGGTGCGATAGCTCACGTGTGCTCAGCCTGATATTCTTTCGCGAATGAAACTAAATCATCGCAATTCTTTGCAATTTGGGATCGCGCCTTTCAGACACGGGAGGACGTCTCAAAGCGCTTCACAGGATTCAACAACAACAACTTGCATGTATAAAGCGCCACCTAACGCAAGATAGAGTCCCAGAGTCCTTTAAAGTGTAGGGACTGCGTGTATTTTGTAGGCGAAACGAGGCAGACAATTTGTGCACAGCAACGACCCATAAAAGTCATGAAGTGAATGGCCGATTTTATTCAGGAAGTTGGCCAGAACACTCTTCTCTTTTTGAACAGCGTCATAGGATCTTTAACATCCACCTGAATCAGCAGATGGGACTTTGGTTTAATGTTTCATCCAAAGGACGGCACCTCCGATAATGCAGTACTTCTGCTCTTACAATGCCTTGGAGCATCAGCCTAGATTTATGTGAGTTCAACATCCCAACATCGAACTTGAACCCACAATGTCTGTCCTGACCCAGATATTAAAACGCTACCAACTGAGCCAGGTCATAATTTGAATCCACAAGGTTAAATTCAAGACTTTGCGCTACAACTTCTAATTTTGAGTGTAAATTTGCCGCCCAAGGAAAAGAAATGCAAAATTAACCAATTAAAAGTAACATTAAAGTTATAGTGTCTGAAGCGATGAGAGACTATTGCAACATCATTATCCATTGCAACTGAATAATAATATCACTTGATTCACAGGAGGGTGTAATAAAAGACTAGTTTTGCATCTGGGAAGTAATATAATAAGGATTTCGAGACCACAGCAAGTATTATAGTGCAATAACACAACATGATTTATCTGGATTTCCTTGGCAATAAAAGTCGTTTTTGCTTTGATTAAATGCCACAACTTGCAACCGCAGCATTTCTTCAGTGCAGGAACCGGCTATTGCCTCAACATTCTTAACAAGTGCAAATTATTGCTTAAGTATGTTCAGAGACGGTACTAATTCTGAGCTCTAGTGGCTTCCCTGCAATAAACCTATTATTGCAAAGTTCAAAACCCTTCATACGAAATTTTAATAGAATAATAGTTTGCATTTAATTCAAACCGTGCGCTCTGGGGCTGGCTGGCTCGGCTGAAAGGCATAGATGGTGAGATGGCACATTGTAAAGAACATTTGTAGAGATTATTTTGTGCCTTAGATGTGAAGTCTCACTCTCTCTCAGGCCCAGTATCATGCGATCACACTTAAAATCATAGGAGGGCCAAATGGCATTCGAAATATTAGTTGAAAGAAATGGGTTCATAAAATTGCTCTGTGTCAGTACCAACTAGAGGATCCCAAACCCTGATGTCTCCTCTCTCTCTCTCTCTCTCTTCCCCTCTCACCCAATTATCACGTGGAAAGAAAAAAATGTGTAATTTTCTTCCCAATGAAAGGCCTCCTTCTCTGTAACTGCACTGGCAAAAAAAGTTTTAAGCAAGTGGCTTTCAGTTATAATAATAATAATAATCCTTGCATTTGGTATAGCTCCTTATCACATCGTACAGACTTTTCAAAGCGCTTCACAGATTATATTGTAAAGTAGATTGACTGCATTTGTGGGCGAAACTATTTATTTATTTTTTTATTGGAGGTATTATTACCCCAAGAAAAGGGTTAAGCCAATCGACTCACAACCGCGTTCAGGAATCAAACCCAGGTCCTCTCACTCGCTAAGCGAGTGCTCTAACTAATACACTTCAGGACTCTACAAGATCTAAGTAAGTAGCTTGCAGTTGAGTTGAGTGCAAGACTTCTGAACATTTAAAAACTGCTGAGCCTTGGGAAGCCAAGCATTTGTAGGAAGCTGGAAAGAACAGTTAACATCAACGAGGGGAATGTGCATAATTCTGTAATTATTAAATCGTTTGAAGGAGAGCAAAAAGCAACAATAATTGCTTTGAAAGGTTTTTTTTTCCCTTCACACCTCAGTAAAAAAATTGATTCGAAAAGACAAGATGTTCGCAACGCATATGAAAGTAATCCTCGTCAAATAATACACGGATTGGAATTGACTGCACGGTTCAAACACGGCACTGTGACATTACATTTCCCATTTACAAGGACAGCATCAAAATTATCACAGGCTTTTGAATTAACAAGAGCCATTGAAAATGATTTGCAGTTGGTAGCAAAAGCCAATTATGTGTTGCGTTGCTTCAAAAGACTAAACCATCTCTACAAGCACCAACTCTCATTGACTAATTATGCACCATTACGTGTACCTTCAACTCCGTCTCGCTATCAGCTTCTCTGCTTTAGTTCTTTTTGACAAAACATGGGCAAAATGTTATTCCATTACAGGACAATGTTAATGTGTGTGTTGGTGGGGGTGTGGGGGTGTGTGTGGTGGCGACAGTGGAAGGGGTCAAGCGATTTAGTTATTTGACTAAAGTTGCTACAGATGTGGGCACAGGATTGAAGATCTATTGGGACATTCTTGTCCGCCACATTCTCGTACAGAGGGGCGTTGGGCTGTGACACTTTCATCAAGCCAACTACACTTTTTGCTGCTAATTTTTTAATCGCACAAAAACAATGTTGGTTAACAGATAACTCTGTGTTAACCAACAGCCATTTTTTTTGCTTTGTCCTCATGATAAGATCTCCCATTACGTAAATACGGCAAAGTGATCATTGGTTTTTGCGATCAGAGGAAAATAGACATCCCAATCTTTTCACAAAACAGTTAGTGTCGCTGGAATTTCTTCAAGGCAGAGATTTTTTTCCTGTAATACATTCCTCAATCCATAGAGGTCTCCTGGTATCCATTCTCTCCAGTTTACACTCCTGTGCAATGTTATTTACAGCTTTGCTAACAGCCAAATCACACCAATCCCTTGCTTCTCCCAACCCTCGCCCTCTCTCGAAGTTGTGCACAAAATTCTACACTTGTCATTAGGTAGCGAGGAACAGACAGATCCAGAGGAACACAGCTTGTAATAAATACTCCTTGCATTTGACACAGAGCCTTTCACGTCAGGAGGTTGCATCAAAAAGCTTCACTGGAGTTACTGGAAAGTGTAGTGACTGCATCTTGTAGACAAAACAATAAGATGATCAAAGGGGCTTTATGGAGGGAGGGGGGGGGGTGGAGTTCGGGGAGAGCTTGGAGAATTCAACACCTTCACAGATCCTACATGTATTCATGAGAACGAGACTTCAAATACACTTTCGTGAATCAACAAATTAAAATTTTAAAGCTAATCCTCCTGCTTTCTCTCGCTTTACACAACCTGTGACAGTTCTTTCAACTCTCTGCATGAAACACAATGAAGAATAACAATTTCACACGTATAATATTGGAGATCCTCACTGCCTCTTAATTGCTCCAGGATTTGGGTTTTTTTTAGCCATTAAGGATATTTTTTTTCCTGTTCTCCTGACCTTAGTGGTAAGATGTTAGCTGTCTGCCTGCACTGATCTCCCTCTCTGTGCAGGTGATACCTGCTGATACTAGATTCACTTTTAACATGATTTCGTGTGTTGTACAGTTCAAAAAGCAAGAAAAAGGAAAATCTTCATTGGGGGGGGAAAAGAAAGAACCTCATCACAAGTTAAACTGCAACTTAAAGCAACACAATGAGGGAGTATCCACATTCAAACACCCTTGGCTCATAGAGAATGAAGTTAATGAAGAATAATGATTGGAATAGCGGAATGCTTATACGGACTACCTCAGCATTCAATAGCACTTTGGGTTTCATTATGCAGTGCTCGGGTGAG